CCCAGTTCTCAGCATGCGCTGCTTCCCACGGATGGATTGGAGCCTTGGTTACAAAAAAAGAAAAGGACGAACCAGGTGCACTCGGTTCCAGTCGGCGGCCGCAGTAGGCTGACACTAGGTAAGGGTGGGCAGGGAGAGTGTCAGGTTTTGGGAACGGAAGTAAGGGTGGGCGGGCAGAATGTCAAGTTTTCGGAACGGAACGCTGGACTCGGGCACAGACCGCAAATAGGTCTGTATACTAAAAGGGATAGGTGAGATAGGGGGGAGGGACAGAGGGAAGATTAGTGGTACTAGGATACTCAGAAAATCCGAACAACGGACTGTACTGCAGTAATGTTAGTTATTGCAAGTTTCGAAGTTTTTTTTTTTTTTTTTTTTTTTTAATTTTCTTAAACTATACTCTTCTCTCAATTTTTTCCTCACACTACCTACCTACCACTACTCCTACCTAAGGGTGACTAAGCTCCTTCATAGAGGATTTGACAGTTTGCATCAGTAGTCTGCGAAAAGTATCCTTAGTCATCCGATCGCCTATAGTGATATTCCTCTGTTCCAACTAGGTTTTCCATTGGACCTGTTTCTGAATATCCATCTCCTCTAATTGGGCTAGGCACCTTTTCCGTTTAGCGGTCCAGTACATGTCTGAAATGGGGTGCTTCCCCCATTCTCTTTTTGCCAATGTCACTGTTTGCAATAACTTCTTTTCCTTACTGTTCCTCAAGGTTGATTTAAGTTGAGACAGGTTATTTAAGAATTTTGCAGTATCCTCATTCCTACCTCTACCCAATCTTCCTCCCTTGTGAACAGGGTTCTGGCCTCATTCCACTGTTTCAAGTGAGTCCGCACCCATTGCACAACATTTGGGTCTTGTAGGTGTGACGTGTTCAATTTGAAATAAGATTTCCCAAACTTGTTCTGTCGAGACAAATTAAAGTTAACAATGATTGGATTATGATCTGAGAGAATTTGGCTATGGGGCTCAACTTGCATACAGTTGTCCCAAGCCTGCCCTCTCATCAAGAAAAAATCCAATCTCCTCCGTATTGGCGGGGACTGAGATTCGTGCCAAGTGTATCATGGCTCATCCGGGTGCAGGGTCCTATAGGCGTTTGTTAGGTCCTGAGCAACCATGAAGGCATTAAGGAACCTACTGTCACTTCGCCTAGTGTGTCTGTCTGGGCTATCTAGCCCTGGGTTGAGCGTCACATTCCATTCTGCACCTATGACCAAGTTCTCAGAGTCCGGTAAGAAACTAGGTAGTTCCTGTAGAAAGGTAAGACGTTCCTTATAAGATACCGGGGTATAAACTGACATTATTGTCCACGGCTCGTTTTCAATCAAAATCTTAACCCAAACCCATTTCCCCCAAAGATCAGTCATCTGATCTAAAACAATTATTTCCAAATCTTTATGTATTAAGATCCCTACTCCTCCCCTAGAGCCATGCATTTGATTTTTTCCTCGTGCTGGTGCCCAAAAGTGCTTACCCGTCCACCATTTAGAAATATCTTGAATACGGAACTCATCAAGTTTAGATTCTTGGATACAGACAATGTGGACCGCTTTTGAGTGGATCCAACTTTTCAGTCTTTGTCTTTTGAATCTGTTGTTATTGTCACACAGACCGCGTACATTCCATGAAGCAATGCGAAGTCTACCTCTAAGAGGCATCCTTCATCTCGGCGCCGCATTTGCTATGGATTCGGCCACCGAGTTCCAAGTTCATGTCCCCGGATTTCCTCCTTCGTATGCCCTCCGAATCCCCATCTGTCCTAGTTTCTTCCCACGGTAAGCGAAGGGTTTCAGCCATAGAATCAGAGAACAGAACCTGTCTATGCCCTGAATGGAAAAACCATCGTGCAATTATTCTGGCAGTGAAATAACCCTTGAAGCTGATACGATCTAGACCATCATTTAGGGGTGACTTGAGCAGAGCAAGCGGGAACCAGTCCTTATCCAAGGATGAAAGGACCTGCTTGACATCGTTCAACATTTTAGAATCCAAAAAGACATAGTACAACCTTGCTTTATTACCCAAGCTGTCCAGTGTTATATCCACACCTACTCTGAGTGTCGGTATGACCCGCAATTTCAGACAGGCCGGCACGAGTTTTTTAGCTTTCGCTAAAATATTGGATTGGGTCAGGGCTTCCTCCGTGTAGGAGGTTGGCAACTCCATGTCCCCATTAGCCAACATATTCGCCATCACCATAACTCCATTATTCGAATTTGCAAGAATCAGTGGAATGAAAATTCTTGGGATGTTCATATCAGACGCGTCTAGAGTTACGATAGGGTTAGCAGATAAGGACTCTTCCCCTGACCCGAAGGCTCCATCTGTCCTCCTCCCTCCTTCCATCAGACCAGACCGTCCCCTATCCTTCGATCCCATTTCCGAAGGTTTTCCTCCCTGCGCCTACCGACTCCCCCTGCGAGTACTCCAACTGCGTGTCCTTCTAGTCTCGATTTCGTTTCCTCCTCCTCCCCGTTCGATTCCTCTTCTTCTTCCGACATCCCCCTTCCATTGTCTGAGGCCCCTTTCGGAGTTGAGCTAGTCTTCCCTTTCCTTTTTCCCTGCTTTCTATTTTTGAACCCGTTTTTACTTCCACTTCCCCTTCTGCTTCCCGCCGAACTATCCGATCTGACCGCCTCCTTATAGGAACGGTCAAAATTTCTGCGAAATCCATCCTTCCCTTTTTGTCTACGACTTCCTTCATCCCTATCTCTCCGATTCGGAAAACGGCGGAATCCTGACAATGGGGGAATTTCCCCGACCGGTAGAAACCCTGAAAGGGGGGTTCAGGGGCGATTGGTTTCCCATCCGCAGCTGCGAAGGGATCTGCCTCGATGAGGGCAGGGCAACAAGGATCCTTATCGGTATGATAAAACGTTTTGCAGGAATCGCACCAAGGGGTGCTTGCCGAAATWACCTCGAAGTAGTAGTCCCCCTGATTAGGGATTCCAACTACTAATCTCRGTCTCACYYTTTCTTTAGCCGTTGTTTCCAAGTCAAATCTGACCGTTYCCAATTCCGATTCTTCTTCATCCGGTTCCATAGGGTGTACCACCAAAACCTKCCCAAAAGTACCTTCGACAGCAGCCTGTAACGCTGGCATCAGCTGCAGAGGRACTCGGGAACATCTGATCCAGAAAACCTTCGGGACTCCGTCTTTGAAATCTTTCATTTCCACAAAAGTCATCCATGGACTGAAGGTTACCCGATATTCTTTTCCCTCCACACAGATAACATCCGATTTCTTTTGAAGCATYCACTCCACCACCTTAGTCTGGGAAGAGACGAAGGAGCAAAGGTTCTTGCCTTCGCTCTKGTATCGACCTCTTTTAACACTTTCATCAATGAGTCCAGCGTCATACCATGAATTCTCATACACTCTCACTAATTTTTTCTTCAATTTGTWGGAGAGCGTTATGGCGTCGTTCTGAAATTGAATTGTCACCGCATGTTTCTTTAACCATTCAATATTGTGTTCCGAGAATTCTGCATTGAGGTCAAACCGAGCAATCTCCTCGGTCAGACTATCGACCCCAATGTCCAGTCCGGTTGGCAGAATGCCATCCTTGAAATATGCATCAAACAGTTCATTAATCTGTTCTTTCTCTGCCATCGTGTAAGCTTGTCTGTTCCCCCCTCCTCCTTCCCCCTGTTCATTCATTGATACATCTATTAACCTCGAAGCCAAAATCAGAATCAAACCCAAGGAGCGGGGTACTAATTGGATGAAGTCAATGCGTCCGTTAAATATCCGTGCACAATCCTAATTGGATACTATATGGCGGTTTCTATAAATTAGAATAAGCCCAAGCATTTTCCAACCAGACAAGGTTTTGAAAGTTGAATCAGATATACCTCTTGTCGTTATCATCGCTCTCGTTCACTTATCTCCCCAGTCCGGGGGAGCTTCGAGGGCTTCAAGGTTCATAAGTCAGCCTCGGTATCGTTGTCCAGTTCGTATTCTCCATTCGGGCGTGGGAAGGGGTAGATGCTGGAGAGCAGAGCGGCCGCTAGCAGGCGAGAAGCACGACCCCAAAGGAAGCCGTTCTTATACTAGATGGACAAGGGCTCTTGTACCCCAACCGCCATAGTTGAACCATGACAGTCAAGCGGCACTGCTTCTACCTTGGAATTATCGAAAGCAAAACATGGGCCGTGTCTGTCGCGGTGAGTTGCGCGTAGCGCTAACCGCAGCGGCGTCCGGTACTCTCCCTTAAACGCCTCCGTCTGCTTTTAATGCGCAAAAAGAACTTGAGACTACGATATGGCCAGTTCGGGAGGTCCCTCGAGCCTGCAGGATACCGGCCAGGGGACGGCCGGTAGCACCAGGGATAAAGCGGACCAATCCCCCGTGCCTCCCCTCAGGCCCCTCCCCTACGAACATAGCAGACTCTGCTTGATGCCGATCGGGGGATCCAGTGGTCTATCTCTTGGGTAGCGGGTGCCAAGAATTGCTGAGATTGCCGGGATAGCTCCGGGTTGAATTGTGAGGTCCCCGGCCTCGTTTCAATGATTGATTGTTAATTGTTAATAAAGTGAAAGTTTGCGGGGGGAAAAAAAAAAAAAAAGGCCAAGACTCTCCCACACACGACTGGCAACCCACTCACACTCACACGCCCACAGATGTTGGCTGACTATCTCAGTTGGTTGGCAGGCCGGTATGGGATTGAACTCACGACCTCCCGAATGCCACTTGCGTGCCTAACCAATTGAGCTTACCAAGCTTACGGCATGCAGGCACGGGATTGAACTCGCGACCTCCCGAATGCCACTCGCGTGCCTAACCAATTGAGCTTGGCCGTTGGATGTTGACGATACATATGAGCAGAGAAAGAGAAGCCCGAGTCAGTGAAAAAAGAAGGGAAAAGAAAAAAACACAGAAGAAAGCAGGAAAGCACAGGTACAGAAGGACAGCAAAACGCAACGCTTCGAAAGAAAAAGCGACGGTCGAGAGGACAGTAGAGCGAAGAGCCGCAGAGGGCGAGTGCGAGTCCGAGGAGAGGAGAGGAGAGGAGAGAAAGGGAAAAGAAAATGAAGCAGCAACATGCAGAGGAGAGGGAACTGAAGCTGCGGCTCTCCGCTCTTCGTTGCATGTATCATTCGAAGGATCTGTTAGCTTAACGGCATATGCGTTAAAATTGGAACGATACAGTAAAAAAGAAGGATCAATTAGCATGGTCTCACAAGCCGAGGAAAGATGAGAAGAGAGAGAGAGAGTATATAGTATGAACGTCGCGCTGTGTACCGACGATCTAGGACAGGGTTGCTCGTACGACAGCTCAGCAGAGATGTGAAGCGGTATTAGAGAGGAGGTACGCAGGTGGAAGGCGAGATTCTCGGCCAGAGCGACATAGTTGCGTGTCAGACAGCTCGTCAGGAACCAGAACGTGGGAGGAGGGAGGAGGAGGGAGGAGGAAGGAAGGGAAGGAAGATACAAGCCAGGTTGCAACAACGGCGGAGAGCAGCTGTCGTATGCGTGTGCACGTATTGATAGTACGTTCGACAGATCAGGCGGTGCCAGTGTGACGCACAGGCTTCCCAGCGTCGATCATAGGCAAACGTGTGTCCATACATGCGTGCGTGCACACACATGCCCAGACCGTAGTATCAAGCAGAAGTGGAGAGAGAGAGAGAGAGAGAGAGAGAGAGAGAGAGAGAGAGAGAGAGAGAGAGAGAGAGATCACCACTCAGGCGCGCCCAATCGCAGACACTTATCTGCGCGGTCAGCGCACATACAGATTGAACAAGGGGGGGGAGAGAGAGAGAGAGAGAGAGAGAGAGAGAGAGAGAGAGAGAGAGAGAGAGAGAGAGAGAGAGAGAGTTGGCGAAACATGGTTCCGTCAATGGTGATGAGGGTTCTACGATCGGCCGAGTTACAGAGCATCTTGGTATGGCCACTATTGCTGAGGAATTTCGTGGATGCACTTTCTCCGTCTGAAGGACCTTCACCTACCAAAGACGCGATGGCGGTACTCGAGTCCTCCTTCTCCTTATCTCCCTCCTCGTCTTCCTCCTCCTCCCCTTCCATGTCATCTGGTTGGTGGAGCCAGATCGAGAGCCTGTTCGTGTTGATGGTGGAGATCGGGATTGCACTGTTCAAAGCTGCGCTGTTGGGATCAACAAGTTTTGCCCGGGCTGTTTCTTCGAATCTTCTCGATGTCTTCTCCACCTCCACCTCCTCCTCCTCCTCCTCCTCCTCCTCCCCCTCCCCCTCCTCCTCCTCTCTCTCTCTCTCCAGCTCTAATTACGCCCTCTGGTCTGGTACACATTCCACGATTTCAGTGATGCAGCATCCGAAGATAGCGGAATCTTCTTTGTGCCCCCCTCCTCCTCCTCCTCCTCCTCCTCCTCCATCTTTTCCATCCTCTCCTTCTCCCTCTCCCTCCCCTTGTCCTTCTGACGCCATATCCAGGTGCTTGATGCATGCACTTAGCGTCCTGACCGAGCTGTCCGCCCATTCCGACAAGTACGGTTTCGTCAGGTCGCTGGCAGAGCGGATCGTCGCAGAAAATTCGCGCGAGGCTCATCGGCAGTCTCCGACTCCTCCTGCTTCCGCTGCTCGACTCGCAGAGGACGTCAACAAAAAAGCTCTTGCGTGGGCTTTCGCACGTACGTCTGCGCTTCTGGCGGATGCGCTACAGAGTTGCTGCAACCTCGGCGGCAGCAGTAGATGGGACGCTGGAGGAGGAGGAGGAGGTGGAATGGGAGGAGGAATGGGAGGAGAAAGAGGTGGTGGATGGCAGGAGATAGGAGGGGCTGTTTGTGGAATCGCCCACAATGTTCTGCTTCGTGTTGAGACATGGACGTCCACGATGGTCACGGGCAAGAAGAACGTCGTCGGCTTGGGCTCTTCGTCTCCTCCTTCCCCGGCGGCCATAGCCGAGAGAGCAGAGAAGTTCGCAGGCGAGCTAGCCTGGCTGGTCGATGTTATGTGCAAGTACTGTTCCTCTCCCGACGCGCTGGAGGAGGTGGCTGCGTACTGGAGCAGGGAGTTTCGACTGGCCGACGTGGCTAATGCCACCTGCATGGCGACGAGCGGCGCGAGTCTAGGAGGAGGAGGAGGAGGAGGAGGAGCTGGCGGGAGGGATTGCACTCGAGTATCTAGCCTCTTGCGCGTTCAAAGGGCGCTCGTTTACGTAACGACAAGGCTGTGGAGAGCTGTTGGCTATGGAGATTTGATGATTCCTGAGGAGGTACGATTCGGTCTCGTGGTGCTATGGTTGCCGTTGACTTGCAAGTCGGCTCCGATCGCGATCCCGACCATGACTTCGTCGTCGTCGATGCTAATCTCTGCAGCCGTTGGCGGCGTACCTTCTGCACACAACGCCATAGGCGGCGCTCTGGGGGGCGTAGGAGGAGGAGGAGGAGGAGGAGGAGGGGTTGTAGGTCTAGGTGGCGGAGGGGGTGCGTCTTCGGCATTGGAGCATGGTGAATCGTCGTTTTGGTACTCAGAAGTGCAAGATAGAAGAGAGATTATGGAAACGGATAGGGATCTGGACATGGTTGTCCGGACTCTCCCTGCAGCAGAGCAGGAGGCGGTTTTCCGGCTATGGCTGCAGGAGTTCGCTTGTTCGCCGTACGATCGGCCGAATCTGACGAAAGCGTACGAGCTATGGCGATCCAAGGCGCGCCAAGCCGCCGTGCTCGCCGCCGCGCTCTCCTCTGTCGCGGCCTCCTCTGTCGTTGTCAGCGAGGAATCCTCCTCCTCCTCCTCCTCCTCCTCCTCTTCCTCGTCGTCGTCGTCGTCTCCCCCATCCGTGTCGCCAGCGTAGAGTCGGACACGCTCGTCTGTCGCTCAGCAAACTGTTGTCGCACACTGTCGCCTAGTTTGTCCTCGAATGTCGGACTGTGTGACGTCACAGCCCCCCTATTTACTTTGACTGTTTTTTTCGTTTGGCCTCGCTGTTTCAGTCCATTTCTTCTTCGTCTCCTTTTTCTCTCTTCTTCTCTCATTTCTTCTTCTTCTTCTTCTTCTTCTGCTGCTGCTGCTCGCCGGAATGTGTGCGTTATGAGCATTGTCTATGTCTGTACTGTTTTCCATATGCATGGATGGGTAGCCATTGACCTCGCTATTCCCCGTTCTTCTTCTTTCTTCTTTCTCTTCTTCTTTCCCTTCTTTCTTCTTCGTAAATCTTTTTGGATGTTGCAGAATGTGGCTGACGAACGATAGCCTTCGTGTTGTCCTCTTCTTCTCAGTTAACTAGTAGGTGTCTTCGTATGTCAGGTGGAGAGAGGTTATCGTTTAAAATGAACCAACATACTGTATGTCATCGTTTAAATAAACTGACATTTGTTTTCTCTCGGGAAACAAACTCCTGTTCTTCTTCTTCTTCTTCTTCTTCTTCTTCTTCTTTGAGCTTGTTGTCCGTGTAGGTGATGTCATGCTTTCCCTATGGACATGGACGCGTAGCGATTGGCCTCGCTACTTCAATTCTTCTTCTTCTTGGCCCTTCTTCTTCTTCTCCTTTGGCCCTCTTCTTCTTCTCTGCTGCTTCTTCGTCTTTTCTTCTCCTTGGCCCTCTTCTTCTTCTCTGTTTTTCTTCGTCTTTTCTTCTTCTTGCCCCTCTGTACGATTCATTTTTCTTCTGGAAAGCCGACAGACTGGGTTTGAGGAGGCCTCCTGAGTCCTGAGGATGACACGGGGCGCTTCGCTTTTTGTGGATATGTTTTGTTGCCAGTAACATTTTATTCACTTGTTATGGATCGTCAGATGATTTTTTTTTTTTATTAGCTAAACCTTTACGTGTTCCACACATAGAACAACCATCACTGATTTGCACGCAAACCGATTGGAGGGTTGAAAACTTATATAATATTGAAGTTTCTCTTTCAGTGTCTGATCGCGTAGCGGATGCGCAGCTCCTGAGTTCGCGGAACACGAGCGAGCTCGGAAGCATGCTTGTTGGCCATTGCCATTCTTTCGTTGTTGTTGTTGTTGTTGTGGTTGTTGTGGTTGTTGTGGTTGTTGTTTTGCTTTTCTTTCGTGTGCAAAAGCATGCTGGTTGGCAATTTTGTCTTCTTCTTTCTTCTTCTTTCTTCTTCTTTCTTCTTCTTCCTTCTCCTTCTTTAAATTTTGTTCTTCCTGTCATGCAAATTTCTCCGGCAGTCTTCTCCGGGGCATGGTTCGGGCAGATGGGAAAGATGATGAGCAAGTTGAAAAGTTTTGTGAACATTCTTTTCTTTTTTTCTTTTTTTTTCCCTTGGTTTCTTTGTATGTCTTGTTGTTTGTTTGTTTGTTTGTTGTTGTCAGTCGGCCCAACTCGATCCTGAGGCCACCCGTGTTCCGGCTTGAGTCGATCCCTCAGGCTGTCGACCGTAGATTGTACAAAGATCAAGGTCGATCGTCGATCGAGTGATCGTCGTCAACAATTTTGCGCTAGGGATTGGAATATTCGTGCGCCTCCAGCTCTCTCTCTCTCTCACACACACACACACACACACACACACACGTTGTTGAGTTACCCTTTGTAACCCCACTTCTAGCAGGTGGGGATGGGTGCAGGTTGGATGGGGTGTGGCCTATACCCCGGGCTGAAATAATAAATACGAGGATCAATGGGGGAACCCCGGAGGCTGGGGAAGAACCGGCGTCTGTCTGATTTTTTTTTTTTTTCCCCGGAAAAGTGGCGGGGACAAATCCAAAAAAGTGAAATTTCGGCCTTTTWTTTTTAATTCCAGAAAAGTGGCGGGGACTAATCCAAAAAAGTGAAATTTCGGGCTTTTTTTTTTTTAWTTCCAGAAAAGTGGCGGGGGCTAATCCAAAAAGTTAAAWTTYGGCCTTTTTTTTYKTAATTCCAGAAAAGTGGCGGGGACTAATCCGAAAAAGTGAAGTGAAATTTCGGGCTTAGAATGGATAGTGCGGCGAAGTCAGGAGGACTAATCCAAAAAAGTGAATGTCGGCGTTTTTTTTTTAATTCCAGAAAAGTGGCGGGGGCTAATCCAACAAAGTGAAATTTCGGCCTTTTTTTTTTTAATTCCAGAAAAGTGGCGGGGACTAATCCAAAAAAGTGAAGTGAAATTTCGGGCTTAGAATGGATAGTGCGGCGAAGTCATGAGTGATTCGTATAATCAAGTAGAAAATGGGAGATTACTCTAGAACTCTAGAAAGCCAAGCAGAACTCTAGAAAGCGAAGCATGCCCATACTAATCGGGTACTATCTATGGAGGATTAGTTGTAATCGGGGTCTATTTATAGACGATTAGTGCTAAATTATCCAGGCCTCTTCAACCGGTGGAGCATGTGTGCCTGCTCTTAGACTCGCATGAATCCTTTACCGGGATGCTGCGGACGCCAGTACTATGCCAGTACTATGCCAGCAAGCTCGACCTCTACGGTCGTTGCAGCCATCGCGCCAGGTGCGCAACTCTCAGCGTCGCCGATCTGCAGTGGTTGTTTCTATGAGGGTCAGTACTATTTCTTGTTGCCGTCAGACTTGCAGCGCCGTTGCTTGCGCTATCGGTTATCGTCGCGATTATCCTTAATCCCCATCCCTTCCATCTAAACCGGTTTTCGAGTAACGTAAGAGAGTCTATCATGCTCATCGTAACAAGGTTCTCGTACATACAATATCAGCGTTGTACCTCTGTGCGTTCTTGATTGAACTACCTCTGCTGAGCTGGATTTTGGCAGGGTCAGCGAAAAACATGTTAAAATTGGAACGATACACAGAAGATTAGCATGGTTAGCAAAAAAAAAAGAAAAAAAAAAAGAAAACATGTTTAAGCTAAGGCTACCAGAGTGGCCCGGGACCACGTGCCTGCCCGGGCCAAAAAAAAGTCGGTTTTTTTTTTTTTTTTTGGTAAAGAATTTCCATGTGACCCTGAGGCAAAAGTTGTTCAGTTAATGTTTCTGCATAACATAGTTGTTCTCCTTTTTTTTTTTCTTCTTTTTTTTTTTTTTTGGGACCTTCCCTGGTCCTTACACGGCCAGGCGGCCCGGGAAAACAGGGTGACCCGGGCGGCCCGGCTGGTAGTCTAGGGTTTAAGGTGATTTGCCAAAAAAAAAAGACATCAGTTTCCTAGGGGTTTCGCCCTGTCTCTTATACACATCTAGATGTGTATAAGAGACAGTCCCTGGTCCTTACACGGCCAGGCGGCCCGGGAAAACAGGGTGACCCGGGCGGCCCGGCTGGTAGTCTAGGGTTTAAGGTGATTTGCCAGTGCCCCAGCCCCGGGGTAACGCGTGACCTCTCGCCTACCCTTTTTGTGGTAAAATGGTGGTTGGTGCCTATATATGAGAGTCAAATTATTTTATACTAAATTACTATTTTACTAAATTACTATTTTATTAAATTACTATTTTATTAAATTACTATTTTATAAAATTACTATTGAATGGATTACCTTCTGCGATTTTTTTTAGCATCTGTTGAATTCTTTTCATGCTTTTTTTGCGTCGTTGATTGGACGTGACAACTTACCACACGATTGAATGTGGACGCTGCTGCGGTAGGATGGGTGGACTGTGCTGTGCTGCGGTAGGATGGGTGGACTGTGTTGTGAGACTATGACTTCGATTTTCAAACGATCTGCTGGGGGAACGTATGGGACTTCTGTTCGCTTGATTTGTTTGTTTATGGGGGGGATGGGCGAGCCAGTTAATGAATGCAGGGTAACTACAGAAACACAGGGGCATGGATCGACGGGAATATGCTGCTGAGCGGCTGAAAGATGAGAGGGATGACAATTGGATCGACAGGAATGCTGCTGAGCGGCTGAAAGATGAGAGGGACGACTATCGGATTTGGCAAGTCTGCTGGGGGAACGTAATGGGACTTTTGTTCGCTTGATGTGTTTGTTTATCGGGGGGGATGGGCTAGCCAGTTCATGTATGCAGGGTAACTACCATAACACGGGCACGGATCGACGGGAATGCTGCTGAGCGGCTGGAAGATGAGAGGGAGGAGTATCGGATTTGGGAAGTCGTCTCGTTGAAGAGAGGAAGGGAGTGGGTGGTGTGTGTACGTTCAGAGGTGTTGGGAGGTTTGTGACAGCACGGGAGAGTGATCATTAGGGAAGGGTGGGGGCGTTGGTGTATATGTATTTATGGTGATTCTGTTTTATGTGAGACGTCGAAGTAGCTGCAAATGAATGGGCGCAGCGATGTCACCCACCATGGGGATGCGGTCTGCTATTCGATGACTATGACGAGCGGAGTGGATGCATGAGCGATGGTGGTGGGGATCTACTGTACGGTATCAAGACTTGGTGGTGGGAATGTTTAACGGGTGGATTAAAACCCCATCCCTAATGGAGCGAATGTAATCGTTTTGTGTTGGAATAAAAGGGGTTTTGTTTTTTGTTTTTTTTTTTTATGGGGGGGGGCGCAACTTTGCGAACGGGTGACACTTGTCGAGAGGGGTGGTGCGGGAACTACCGTCTTCCCCCGAATAGAACGCCCGGTCATTATAGCCGTATTTGGTGCACTTTTCAGTCCGGATACTGCAATGATAACCGGGCGTTCTGTTCGGGTGAAGATTTGTTAAGCATAGGATCGTTTATATCTAGTGGGATGGAGGGAGCCTTGGGGGTGTAAGTGATCAGAATGTCACGAGTGACGAGGAGTGGGAACTCCGATTGCAAGGGTTGGTTCTTCGAGAACGGCAGTCGACAGATAGTTCAGTGATTGGATTAATGTATGCGCTCGTGGATTAAACTCTTTTGTGTTTGAAACTCTTGTGTGTGAGAGATGATGCGGGGCTACTTTGGAAATGCATGGTTTGAGGCGAATTCTGTTTGGTGTGGATTCAGGAATGGATTTGAATTGCGCATATGTTTCCGTACGATTGTGGTCTTTCTGGTGCGGATCAGCATGCATTACCGTGTAGCAATGGTCATTCTCGAGTGTCAATGGGCGTGATGGATATGCTGGAATGATGAGGAAACCTACATGGATGATCTACCTGGTGAGGTGACGGTGAAGCGGGGTGCATTTCTTTATGTGCCGAGGCCCTCTCAATATGTGTATACACACCATCACACACACACACACACACACCATCACACACACACACACACACACACACACACACGTGTCCCTCCAGCTCTCTCTCTCTCTCTCTCTCTCTCTCTCTCACACACACACACACACACACACACACACACACAGGGTCTGTCTTGCAGTAACGAGGTTGGTTTTGATAAGGACTACCCTGATTTGCTTTTGTGTAGGTAGTCGTCGCGGATAGACGAATGTTTTTTTTTTTTTTTTTTTTTTTTTTTTTTTAAGAAAAATTTGGACCATTTCTCGATTTATGCGTGTCATCATCCTTGAAAGCGCAGGGGCCATGCTAATCTTCTTTCTCTCTGTATCGTTCCAATTTTAACGGATGTCCCGAAGGACGATGAATGGTTTTGGATGTATCGCTTCCTTTTCCTCCCCCCCCCAAACATGAACATTGGAACTGACCGGAGATGTCATGTTTTGTGGGAGAACTTCAGTGGGACACAGGGAAAAAGTGCAGCGCAGACCCGGGACGGCAGGGAAGTTCCCATTTCCAACGCCAGGCCCTTCTGGCCTAAGGCTCCCAGCAGGGGGGGTGGGGGGGGGGGGGTTCCCTAGAGAAACAACCCGAGTGAGTGCTAGGGGKGCTGATAAGAGCAGACACCACTAGCACCTGGGGAGAGGTTCCATCTATTGGTGGGGAGCGACACCTGCTGGAAAGCGAGCGGGTCCGACGTCCCTCGACATTTTAGGAAGGGGCAGGCGGAGTCGTCTTATGAGACCGCTCTAGCAAAAGGAACAACTCATCCATTGTGTAGGCATCATTGTCCTTGAGTTTCTTGGAGAAAATACTAAACGTGGCATTGATGTCTGTGTGCG